TAGCCTAATCTAATTTTGCTTGTTTTACATATGCAGTACTATAGACAAGTTCCCAGGTGTGCCCTAAATGTGCTCATGGTACCTGATCAATAGGAAAGTTTTCACACCCGAAACACAAAACAGTGCTCTGCTTCTCACATCCTCTCTCAGAAGCAATGGAAAATAAGTTTCTTTGGGCTACAGTGGTATTTAGCTGCTGCAGTTACTACTTGCTGGATCACTCTTCTGTGTCATAAGGTACCATCTCATCTTCATGTTCTAATGTGAGATTTTTTTTCTCCTTTATGATAAGACTATTAAGGCCTCTACTTTATAAAAGCGCTTCTCACTGCAGAACAAGGGAACAGAGCTTGTTTAGTCATTTCAAATGGGAGGTCTTGTGTCCTGTATGTTGATTTCAGGGTGTGTTTCTGCCATTGTCTCCTTTGAGTTTCACAAGATTCCATTTTCGAGAAATTTAGCAAATGGATTCAAGACTCTTGTTTTTGTTGTTGTTTTAAAGCATACTTTGTTAGAAGTGTGGGAAGGGATATGGGCTTGTAGTTTTTACTTTTGCATTTCTTCAAGGATAGAAACTAAGCAGGCTTATATGGGATAGCTAGAAGATTTAAGGGTCACTGACATTAGCCATTGGTCCCCAAGGTCTAGGCAAAATCCATATTAATTCCTTTCTCGGAAAAATGTGGCATACCAGCAAGCTTCTCTCCCAGCTATTTGTCACGTTAGCGAAGTGTGCTTCTAGGAGTATCATCTTTTGTAGAGAAAGAAAACTAAATTTGTTTTACTAAAAATGTTCAGAGTTCCTCTTCTCCCCCACAGTGGACTAATTATCTCATGACATGGTAGGATTCTACATTTGTAAACCAGAGAAAGTATGTGAACAGACATTGTTCACATTCTGTATTTCTTCTTAAATGTTGTGTAACTTCACTCTTGTGTCCTTGCAATTGTGAATCTGTCTCCCTTTTTCCTTCTTTTTTTCCCCACTTTTTCAAACATAGTTGACATGGCCATGATGAGGTATTTGGAATCACTTGTTTGCTTTTTAAAATAAATTCATTTCATTTGAGACCAATGAAAGCATTAGTGCAATAGCTGAGCATTTACATTTGACAGGCTATGGGAAACAGGTGGACATCTGTCTATTCTGCTAAATTCTTAGCTATGAAATGTTTTCTGCATTATCGTCACTTCTGTCCTCTCAGCTTTCATCATTCTCTATGAATCACATACCATTCTTCTCAGTATATGGTCTCTTGCTTATACTATACTCTTTGGGATTTCAAAAGGTTAATAATCGCAGCCTATTTCTAACCAAAAACGTTCAGGATTAAGTTTGTCTTCTTTCTCAGAAGTGTTCCTGGGAGCAATATATTCTTCGATTTCCTGGAGATTGTTTGTTATGAATCTTATCTTTATTTGAGTGATAGAGTGATAGCTGTGTCTGGGGCTTTATTCTGTTGTATTTTGGATGTGTAAAGGGTTTATAAGATCAGGATGTCTAGGGTTTTATGTTTGTTTGCTTTGAACTGAACGTTATCCTCAGTCATGCCCCATGAACTTTCTGTAAACTTGATCTTTATTGAGTCTGCGACCCCAGAAAATAAAGAAAATAGGTAAAGCCAAAACCAACAATTGGGAAAAACTCCTGTGGAGCAGGGCTAGCACATGGCAGAATGAGTCAGCAGTTGCAGCGGAGCATTATCGATTGTGAATCTTTAGTGCATTTTCTTTTAATCTTCGTTTGTTTCTTAACTATCATTATTTAGTTAAGATACAGATACTTTAAGTATGATGATACTGATAATTCTTTATTTTTGTGATGGGATGTTTTAAGAAAACTTTCATAAAAAATGTACATGTAATTTCATAAGTAAAACTTATTTTCTAAATTAAAAAATTATACTCTCACATTATATAGCTGTGAGATAATAGAAAAAAAATATGTTAGTCTTTGCCCAGATTCTTGGCACAGATCTTCTAAAACCATATGATTTCCTAAGTGATTAGAGCCTAGGACAGTGATGGCGAACCTCTGACATGCGAACTCATTTTTTTGGTTGATTTTTCTTTGTTAAATGGCATTTAAATATATAAAATAAATATCAAAAATATAAGTCTTTGTTTTACTATGGTTACAAATATCAAAAAATTTCTATATGTGACACGGCACCAGAGTTGTTAGGGTTTTTCAAAATGCTGACACGTCGAGCTCAAAAGGTTCGCCATCACTGGCCTAGGAGCATCTTTTGTTCTAATATTTCTGTCTTTCACTCCGGTTCCTAACATGGAATTCCTAAGTCCCCTTGAATTTCCTGGGTAATAGCAATGTCCTTTTTGTAATGAAATGTCTCTTGTTGGGCTTCTGGCTGGGGGCTGGTCACCAGAAAACCCAAGCAGTGATTAGCAGCTTAGAATTTTCAGCCCTGCCCCTCATTTTTCAGATCGGGAAGAGGGGCTGGAAATGGAGTTAATAATTGGTTAATGTGATGAAGCCTCCATAAACATCCCAGTAGTATGGGGTTTGGAGAGCTTCCAGGTGGATGACCACTTGGAGGTGCTGGGAGAGTGGTGAGCTCAGAGCACATGGAAGTTCTGTGCTCCTTCCCACATACCCTGTCCTGTGCACCTCGTCCATCTGGATGTTTATTTTGTCCATTGTGGTATCCTGTCATAGTAAACTGGTAAACAGTAAGTAAAGTGCTTCCAAATTAGTGTCGTGTTCACACTTCCCTTGTCAGTCAGTTTGTGATCATTTATTGAAACTGAGATTTTCCTATTTTGAAATCATTACTCTCTGTTGATAGGAGAGAATGTATTTGAATTTAACAAATATGTAGGCATTGTGTATCTGTAAAACATGTTGACTATTAATTAGCCAGAAACTGTAATCTCTAGGTGGGCAGAGAACATGTCTCTCATTCACCATTGCAGCCTTTGATGCCTCACACAATATATACAGCATGGGCAAAGGTGGGTTTACAGTTGTAATACAAATAAATAATACAATAGTTAAGAAATAATAATGCAAGAATAAACTCTGTGTTTCACATATTCACAATTCTAAGCCTACTTTTGCCCATCCCTGTATTTGTCTACTGAATGAATCATTAGAGTCTAGTCTTTCAGAATATTTTTCTCATCAACACTTTTCATCCCTTTAAACCACAAATGATTGTCTTTAATAAAATAATTAATAAATATGCTCATTATGCTTTCCTATGTGTAGACCTCAGCTTCTATTCAGAAAATTGAGACCTATATATATTGGTTTAAAAATGGGCCACAGGCCCTGTTGGTGTGGCTCAGTTAGCTGGGCATTGTCCTGTGCATTGAGAGGTTGCTGGTTTGATTCCTGGTCAGGACGCATGCCCCCTTTGGAGCTCATTCCCTAGTAAGGATGGGGTGTGCAGGAGGCAGACAATTGATGTTCCATTCTCACATCAGTGTTTCTCTCTTCTCCCATCCTCTCTCTAAAAATTAATAAACTAGTCTTTTAAAAATGATTTTAAAAATTGGGCCACATTGGATTTTTATTCCCAACATTTCATTATGAAAATTTTCATACAGAATATATCTACCACCTGGATTCTACACTTAACATTTTAACATATATGCTTTATCAAATATCTGTCCTATCAATATTTATCTTCTTTTATTCATACACTTGGGGAAGTTGCAGGCATCAGTATACTTACCCCCAAAACTTCACACTTCATCTACAACATTTATAAATAGAATGCTGTTGGAGTAAGACTATTTGAAATTATGTGTGGTCATTTGGAACAGATAATTATTGGAAAATTAAAGTCTATCATCTTGCTTTCCTTTTTTTTTTAAAATTCATCTTTATTATTGAAAGTATTACAGATGTCCCCTTTTTCTCCCCACTGACCTCCTCCTCCCCTTGGAAGGTCAGATAAGAAAAGTGTAAACCAGCTTAAACCTATATAATTCTTTATATTTCAAAAAAATTCATGTGCATTATCTAATTTGATATAGCATTATTATTATTAATACTAGCTAACAGTTACTGAATGCTTACTTCATGCAAGGAATTGTGTTGTGTTTACCTTTAACAAAAGTACTGTGCTAAATTCTCTTCATCCCACTGATATTTTTCAAATGGATTGATTTATTCACTTAAAAACATATTTATACCCTGTGGCATGCCTTTTAAATTCACAGTTATCAGCTGCTGCTATGTTTAGACTGAATTCTTTTGGTGTTTGGGTGCTGAGAACAAAAACATTTTCTTGAGTATTGTCTCTTTATAAGTTGCTATTCATAATAATACTTGAGCACACCTGGGAAGAGTGACTGAAAATGTTCATGTGTTCTTTGACTATCTCTTGTAAATTAGCTTCTAATATTCAAAATGGTACATGACTATAAAGGCAAAAATGAATATGAGAATCTGTAACTATTACTGATTTCTTCTTGGATTATTAGTTATTATAATTCTATTAATAGTAATGGTCACTAAAAATAATGGCCACTATTTTTTGTATTTACTGTATGCGAGTATGTTTATATTTACATCATCATATATTTAATGTATTATATATTTAATTTATTAAAAATTGAGGCACAGAGGGATTAAGGGGCTTGCGTGTCCCTTAGGCCACACGGCTGTAAATGGAAGAGCCAGGATATGAATGTTCAGCTCCACAGTTGTTGCATTAGACCACTTACCCTAGTATTTTGTGTAGTATGTATGGTCCTCGGACCACCTGCATCATAACTTTCTGGGGTGCTTGCTAGATATGCTAACTCCTGAGCCTCTCACCCTAGACCTGCTGAGTCTCTGTATGGATGAAGTATGTTTTTTAGTCATTCAGTTGATTTTTATGTGCACCGAAGTTTGAGTGCACATAAATTCTCTAAGCATTGTCACGTTTTAATCTCTGTTAGCCTAGAAAGATAGAATCAGTGAGTCATTCTTCTCCTTGGAGTGTATGACACTGGGTTAATCTTTATGCTTTTACCTTTACTTCTAGATCGTCATGGATTTTAAGCACCCAGATGGTGTCACAGTGCCCGTCATGTTGCCTCGTCGGAGTTTGCTGGTGATGACAGGAGAATCTAGATACCTTTGGACCCATGGGTGTGTATTGAAATGACCTCGAGGACAGATACCCTTTGCTTTGTGCGAGTTCTCATTCTTTCCTGTGAGCCACCAGAACCTTGCCCCAGGCCTGCACATTGAGTCTCCTGGGTTTAAACCCCAGGGACATGTATCGCTTTTTATAATATTAACCTTTTCTTTGAAAAGAATTCAAATTTAAAGAAAAGTTACAAGCTTAGTACTGCGATCTTCACCTTTCACCTAGATTTATCAAATGTGAACATTTTGCCATGTGTTTTGTCTCTCACATGTTATCATTATTATTATTGTTGCTGAATCTTATGAAGGAAAGTTACTTTATTGCATATTTCCTAAAAGCAGGACATTTTCTGTATCAGAAGTTGACAGACTATTGTTTATAGGCCAAATTCAGACCTTAGTCTGTTTTTATATAGCTCTTTAGCTAAAAATGGCTTTTACATTTTAAAGGATTGTAATGAACCAAAACAAAAACAAAGACTGTGCAACAGAGACTGTATGTGGACCTCTGTGCCTAAAATATTTACTGTCTGTCCTTGATACAGGAAGTTTGCTAACCGCTGTTCTATAAAACTGCAGTGCAGTCTTCAAGTTCAGGAAATTCCGTATTGATAAAATAATCTTATGCAGTCAATTTTTAACTTTTGCTAGTTGTACTTTATAGTCCTTACAGACAAACCAGAGCCTATCAGGAGTTAGAGCAGCAAAACCAGATTTTACTCAGGAACTATTGCAACAGGGGAGAAGAGAACTGGACTCAAATCTAAATACAACAAGGAAGAGTGGGGTTTATAGCCAGGAAGTCCAGGGTTGGGGATGGGGCTTGAAGGATGGAAGGAAGGATTCTGTCCAAATAACCAGAGGATTCTTGCTGAAGGCAAGTCAGGGTGACCAGATAGTGGGGGATAATGGGGAATGAGGACTTTGGTCAGACGTCAAGGCTGATCAGCCACTAAAGATGGGGATTCTGGCTAAAATGACTGAGCAGGATTCTTGTTGAAATTGGGCTCTTGGAGGACAGGCCAAATATGGAGCCGAGTCAGGCTCAGAGGAGTCTGACTAGACTTTGGTCAAGAGAGAATCATTGTCGGTAGTTCATGGTTAGTTTTCCCTCTCTTCTAGGATTCTGTCCATGATCCTGCATTTCCTTTGGTTGTCAGTTCTCTTTAGTCTTCTTTAATTTGGAACAATTCCTCAACTTTTCTGTCTCTCATGACATTGACACTTTTAAGGAGGCCAGTTGTTTTTTAGAATGCCCCTCAATTTGAGTTTATTTGATTGAATCTAATCCGAAAGAAATGGATTATGCACTTTTGGCAGAAAGACATCTTCAGCCCTTAGAGAAGGAAGCATCTCACTGCTAAAATTTACATATATTGTACTTTATTTTCCTTTTTAAAATCTTTATTGTTGAAAGTATTACAGATGTCCCTTTATTTTCCCCCCACTGCCCACTCCACCAGGTTCCCACCCCACCCCAGGCCTTCCCCATCCTATTGTCTGTGACCATAGGTAATGCATATATGCATATAGGTTGTTCGGTTAATCTCTTCCCACCCCCCCACCCCCCTCCCCGCTTCCCTCTGAGATTTATCAGTCTGTTCCATGTTTCCATGCCTCTGGTTCTATTTTATTCATCATTTTATTTTGTTCATTAGATTCCTTATTTATTTTGAGTTTTAGATTCAATTGTTGATAGATATGTGTTTATTGCCATTTTATTGTTCATATATATGATCTTTTTTCTTCTTCTTCTTACTAACTGCTTTTCTCTTGCTGCTTTAAATACTGCTGAATTCTGTGCTTATAACCTGATGTATTTATAAGAATTCTGGGAAATGAGCATGTAAATGAATTTGTAACCTGCCCTAAATGTGAACCGTAAAACCAGATGGCCTGATTTTGTGCACTGAGGCTTAAATCTGCCTGACTCTTTTTCATGGCCGTTTAAAAGAGAACATTTATATTTTCTCTTTTTAGGATCAAGCATAGTAACATTTAAACTTAAGAATAATGGTATTATAGCAAATAAAAAGTAACCAATTACTTTTTATAGGCCTATGTTTTGAAAATATTTTAGTTTATTCTGGGTAATAGTACAGATTAGTTTTTCTAAACCTCATTTTGATCACATTATTCTCCTGTTTAAAGCATGTTGTGAGTAGTATCTCTTTAAGATTGAATTGCAGGTAATATTTATTTTTAAATCTCTCACGTGAATCCAAATTCTTTACATTAGTTTCGGGGGAAAAACTCTCAGTATTCCATTGATACTCAATGCCTGTAATGTGAGAGTGTGTATGCGCGCGCGCGTGTGTGTGTGTGTGTGTGTGTGTGTGTGTGTGTGTAGGAAGAGAGCAAGAAGGAGGAGGAAGAGGAGGAAGAGATAGAGTATAAGGGGGGATGGGGCACAGATAGAGAGATAGGAACAGAGAGCGACTTATCACACAAATGATATACCAATTATTGAGCTCTTCCCAGAATCTCTGTGTGGAAGGGAGAATAAATTGTAAAAACACATTTAATACACTTAAAAATACAGGGTGGGGCAAAAGTAGGTCTACAGTTGTGAGTATACGAACGTTTTTTTTTGTACTATGATTTATTAATTATTGTATTATTTTCCATATGAACAACTGTAAACATACTTTTGCCTCACCTTGTATGTATGAACTATAGGAAATAAATTTTGATAAGAATATTTTTATCTCGCCCTAGCTGGCTTGGCTTAGTGGATAGAGCGTCGGCCTGCGGACTGAAGGGTTGCAGGTTTGATTCCGGTCAAGGGCATATGCCTGGGTTGCGGCTCGATCCCTAGTAGGGGACGTGCAGGAGGCAGCTGATCAATGAGTCTCTCTCATCATTGATGTTTCTATCTCTCTCTCTCCCTCTTCCTTCCTCTTTGAAACCAATAAACATATTTTTTAAAAAGAATATTTTTATCTCTGTACTATAAAAAACACTAGAAAGCACTGTTGATGGATATGAATTGAAGAAAGTTGATGACCGTGGCCCTATAATATTCCAAACACTTTTAATTTGATCTAGTTCTAGTTTAGTATTCTGGCCACTGTGCCCTAAATCAAAGGTGCAAAACTGGAAACACATGGGTCAAATGTAGCAGTCAGACTGTTTGGCAGGGACAGTGGTGGTCCACATGGGAGCATTTTTAAAAAATTGCCTACATATAAAAATCAGGAACAGTTACATAAAAATCTGAATGTCTTGCTTTTGAAAATTGGAAAGGTCTGACAACAGAGGCATGTATCATTTGGCAGCAATAGCCAAGACCATCAATGGCTGTCTTTTGATGAGGCCAACATTTTCAAGTTCTCTACAGTTCCTACCACTCTCTGTGACTCCCTGAACTAAGGCTCAGTATAATTTGTCACTTATCACTGTGCTTGTACTATTGTTTTTATCTTATAACAGAGTTAAATGGGAAATTAAATATTTCTTGAACTCATGTTGGTATTAAAAGAGGAAAAGGAAAGCTAGAATGAGTGGGAATGTATATTTTAAGAAAAAAGAAGAGAACACTTTCTGTCTTTTTTTAAATGAAGACTATCCCTATGTGTTTAATGGCAAAGAATATATTTCTAAATAGATCCATCTGCTTCACTCATTTATGTTATTTGACTAGCAATTATTTCATGAATTTATGTGAATTCTCCTTTTATTTTTGGAGCGTTTTCTTTGTGTCAGGCATTGTTGTAAAAGCTTTACATATATTAACTCACTTAACTCACAGAGTAGAAAGTTTCTCCCATGATTTGTCCCCATTTTTAAAGGAAATTGGAGCATAAAGAGGTTACATAACTTGTACAAAGTCACAAACCAGTAAGTGGCAGAACCAAGATTAGAGGCCAGGCAGTCTGGCTTCAGAGTCTGTCGTCTTAACCATGTTATAGCTAACCTCATTTGCTCCCTTTCCTCTGAATTTCTATGTGCCTCTAGCCTTCACACTTTTGACAGCTCTTCATGCAGTAAATTTCCTTTTTCTTTCCATTTACTTTTTTAAAGATACTGTACAGCCCAACTTTTACTTTCTTTATAATTTATAAAACTTTTCTGACTACATTAGCCTGAAATAATTTCTCCTGTATCTTAACTCCTAAGACTAATTTCTCATACTACCTTGCAATGTCTTTTATATGGAACTGTTATTTAATTTATAAAAATGTTTTTATCTATTTATTTAATATTTTTCTAACTAGATTATAATTTGAGTGCAGGGGAAAATAAAGATGTTCAGAGATGTGTAAAGAATTCATTATTATTATTTTAATGTATTTTTTTTATTGATTTCAGAGAGGAAGGGAAAGGGAGAGAGACAGAAACAATGATGAGAGAGAATCATTGATCGGCTGCCTCCTGCACACCCGCTACTGGGGATCTAGCCCATAACCCAAGCATGTGCCCTGACTGGGAATCAAACTGTGACCTCCTGGTTCATAGGTCGATGTTCAACCACTGAGCTAAGCCCTCTGGGCAAGAATTCATTATTCTTAACATAGATTTACCTATTCCTAAACATCTGAGATTGGTGTCAAAAGTAGTTTCATACAGCTTGACCTTTAACTCTAGGCAAGTGAAGTAATTGACTTCAGAGAACCATCATAGAGAACTAGTCCTAAAGAGAGAAATTTGTTTGTTAATAAGAAATTCAAGATACTCATTGTTCTGAAATACCTTGACTTTATTCAGCACTGTAGTATTAATCATTTTAAGCTACCAATCATATAAATTCAGACAATAATTGCTTGTTTTTACTTCTAAAAAAATTCCTTTAGTACAAGTTCTTTTAAAAAAGCCATTCTCACAACTTGTTTTATGAGGTCAGCATTACCCTGACACCAAACATGTCAGGGACATTACAACAAAAGAAAATTATAGACCAGTTTCTCTCAGAGAGACAAAAATTGTTTAACAAAATATTAGAAAATGCAGTCCTATGATATATGAGTGGGGGCCGAGGCAGAGGTGGTTAGGGGTGATTAGGCAGGCAGGCAAGCAGTTAGGGGCAATCAGGCAGGCAGGCAGAGTGGTTAGCGGTGATCAGGCAGGCAGGCAGCAGAGTGGTTAGGGGCGATCAGGCAGGCATGCAGAGTGGTTAGGGGCGATCAGGCAGGCAGGCAGAGTGGTTAGGGGCGATCAGGCAGGCAGGCAGAGGTGGTTAGGGGCGATCAGGCAGGCAGTGAGCAGTTAGGGGTGATCAGGCAGGCAGGCAGAGTGGTTAGGGGCAATCAGGCAGGCAGGCAGGTAAGCGGTCCCTGATTGTGAGAGGGTGCAGGCCGGGCTGAGTGACCCCTCCCCCCCGTGCATGAATTTCGTGCACTGGGCTTCTTGTAGGTATAGAAAATCTTAGGAAATCTAGAAAACAAGTGCTAGAACTAATAAGTGAACATAGCATGGTGGTGGCATACAGGGTCAATATTCAACACTTAATTTTTTGGTAAATGAAAAAATGCTTTCATCAAGACCTGTAAAATACTTCTTTTCACTACTCTGAATTAATTAGGTAGTTGTGGAATGGTTTAAAAAGCTATCAGCCTGGGAATTCTGATTCTTAAATTGAGATTTAATTCTCACACACACATATAACATTGTATTAGTTTCAGATGCACAACATAATGATTCTCTCTGTGTATATATTGTGAAATGACCATCACAGTAAGTCTATTTAAAACCACCAGTTATAGTTTTTTTTCTTGTGATGAGAACTTTTAAGATTTATTTTCTTAGCAACATTCAAATATACAATACAGTATTATCCTATATAATAAAAGCCCAGCGACCAAAATGGCGGGATGACCAGCACGACCAGACTCCCAATCTCTAGTGCAGGACAATGTCAGACGCCGTTTGTGACTGGCTCTGATTACCCTTTTAGTAGCTATCAGCAATCCACGGCTTGTGGCTCCCTCTGCTGGGGCTGGGTGCCTTTGGGAAAGGCCAAGATGTGTACCAACGTCTGCCTTTCCTAGCCCGGACCCAGAAGGAGATCAGGCAAAGACTCCAGAGATCCGTCTCTCCCTACACACTGATTTTTTTTTCTTTTCTTTTTTTTTTTTTTTTTAGTTTTGATTAGCCACTTACTCCACCACCATTTTGGAACTCTTATTTTTATTTTTTTAATCCTCACCCAAGGATATGTTTTTTATTGATTCTAGACAGAGAGAAAGGACAGAGAGGAAGGGAAAGAGAGAAAGAAACATCAGTGTGAGAGAGAAACATTGATAGATTGCCTTCCATACGTGCCCTGACCAGGGATCGAACCTGCAACCTGGATATGTGCCTTGCCTGAGAATTGAACTCGTGACCCTTCTGTGCATGGTACAATGCTCTAACCAACTGAGCCACACCAGCCAAGGCTGTACATTCTTTTAACATGATTACCTTGAAGATAACCTCTTAAACGACATAGACTTCTATTTCTTCGTTTTTTCTGCTTGTGCTTAACAATTCAGGGAATCCATAGGTATTTGCAATACAGGCAGTCCTCGGGTTACGTTGGACTTGACGTACGTTGTTTCATGGTTACGTCGCCATCTCCCATTTACAATATTTATTAAAAAAAAAAAGTTCCGTCATTTCGACGTATGTACATATGTGCTTTATGTTTTTTATTTATTTACCACAAATAAAGGTCAGGAATTGTTATCTTTCTTTTAAATTCTTTTTACTGTTTCACTTCATTACTGCTGTGGATGTGCTCCATGTGAGTGACGTAGGTGCTTATGTAGTTGGGTTCCTACTTAGGGCGAAAATCGTGTTATGTCGCGCTGTAGGAACGGATCTCCGATGTAACCCGAGGACCTACTGTACATTCTTCTGGATTTACTCTATTTTCCTTAATGTTTTTAAAGGACCTGAAATGTTTTTATGAATGCCGTGTTAAATTATTTCGATTGTTGTTTTTAGAATAACACCAAGAAAATTTGATACTGTTCAAGCATCCAAGGGTCACAAAAGTGGAATTATCACTGGTGATGTTGGAGACTTAACTTTAAGCAAGAGGGGAATACGGACATCGTTTACATTTAGGAAAGTGAGGCAAACACCTTGTGACTGCAGTAAGTATATAATTTTGATTTTATTGTAAAATGGAATAAATCTAGTATGAAATTTCTCAAAGTCCAAACAGAGCCAAGGAGAGCTTTGCTGTAACCTTATTAATGGCATTTCTGACATTTTGCCTAGTATTTACATATATTTTTAAATATAACATATATTTACATATATTTTTCTTAACCACCCTCATTAAAATGAGTTTATATTATTTGAACATAGGGACTCCACCTAATTCATGTTTATTTTCTACAAATAGTACTTGAGCATAGTTGGATGCCAAATAAATATTTTTTATGGAAGTCACAGTTAAGCGTGCTACAATTATAGCACATTAAAATATCATAAAATTAAGTTTTGTTGGAAACAGCTTGTGAAGCTTTTAAATTACTTCTCATCAATCCAATGGGGAAATTGGATATGAGAAATTGGAGATAACTCTAGGACAAACTGGTTTATGTCAATTTGGAAACCTATTAACCATTTCGGTCCAACCTCAAGGCTCACTCAACAGACCAGGCGCTAGGAGCAGGTCCAACGTCGAGCAATAAGAACATTAAAAAGTTCAACATTCAATCCCGTCAATTAATTTGGACCAGACTGTTTGAATTCCAAAAATAACATTGGACCGCAAAGGGTTAAAGAATAAAGGGAAGTACTTAAAAAGCCTGGCCAGCATGGCTCACTGGTTGAGCATCGACCTAGGAACCAGGAGGTCACAGTTCGATTCCTGGTCAGGGCACATGCCCAGGTTGCAGGTTCCATCCCCAGTGGGGAGAGTGCAGGAGGCAGCCAATCAGTGATTCTCTCTCATCATTGATGTTTCTATCTTTCCCTCTCCTTTCCTCTCTGAAATCAATAGAAACATATTTTTTAAAAAGTACTCAAAAACCTTGTCAAGAGGATGCTATTTTGAGCTGTCTATATAAGTATGCCATGACCTGTATTTCTTAGAGTCAATAGATAAAAATCTTTTTCATTTTATAAATAATATTTTTAATGACAGTGATGTAATTAAAATTTATATCCTGCGGGGCTTAACTATGGGAGTTATCTAGGATTTGCTTTTGGGTCTAGTCATAATCTTAAAAACATTTAAAATAAAAAACCTTTATTATATCTACAAGATGTTATCCCTGTTAGAAAACTTGAAATGTCTACTATGGCACTTGTTCTAAAGAAACTTGAGGTCTAGTTAGACAGACAAGCTAGTTTTCTTATGCAAATGTTTCTTTGTTATGGGCATTAATTCAATGTAAGGGATCCTATAAAAAGCTCTGATTGTATAGTCAGTTCACAGATTTTTTTTAAAGTTCAAGGCCATCTTTTGGGTACTTTTGGCACAAATTTATGAATTTTTAAAGATAAGGGTTGCTATTCCCTTTAGACAACTTAGATGTTCATAATTTCCAAGAGAGTAAAATTTTACTAAGACCAATTTAGACTAACTATAATGTATATTGTAGAGTGATTGCAATTCTGATGTAACCAACATAATGTAACCTATCTGCTTCCACATATATGTTTTGGAGTCCTCAAGCTTTCTGGGGCTACCCTTTTCTTAAATGTCCACTTAAAATGTTTAGAGCTTCACTTTATACATTGGTAAGGACTAGATGTTCCCACCCCCATTCTAGGCTTTCTCAAGGTTTGGCATACTCTAGTTATATCCAGGGAAAGTTTCTGAAGCCATCAGTGCTGTAGCCCAATGCTATTTCTAGTTATTGTCTCAGTCTTGTTTGTGATTTCTCTGGGAGCACTACTGCTTCTCTCATTCTCTAGAATACTACCCTTTAAAAGATGTGTGTCACAAACTTTGGCTGAAGACAAAGGAGAATTATAGCATAGTACAAAATGGGCAAGGATTTAAAATGAGTATTAGACTATTGCAGAGGACAGGGGACACCGTCAAAATTAATTTGAGACATTGTATCCTAATTTCCTCTGTCACGTCCTCTACTTGGCTTTGCTCATTCTATTGAAGAAGGCATTTCTATTGAAGACGTGCAGTCATTGAGAACATGGACTCTAGAGTCTCCACTGCCTGGATTCAAATCCTGGCTCTATGACCTACTGTCTTTGTCACTTTAGGATTATTATTTAACATTCTGTGCTTCAGCTTCTCATCTATAAAATGGCTGTAATAATACCTATTTTATAGTGTTACTGTGAGAATTGAGATGAGACATATATAAACTGCTTCAGATAGTGTTTATTAAATACTTGTGATTATTACCAAATAACATTTTGCTTCTAGGTTTCATTCTTCTAGGAGTCTTAGTGCCCCCAGAACTCCTATCACTTTCACCCACCAAAAGTAAAACCCTAAATCTTCTTAATGTAGCTAAATACCTTCTGCTTAGGCCTGGCCCATTAAGATGCTTTCCTGAATGAGGACCCTTAATCCTAAGATGAAATAGGCATCTTCATTTTAAGACATGCAGAATTGCAGTCATGTGTTGTTGCAAACAGGTTTTCCTCCTTCTGTTTTTTAACTGATAAATCAGAGGCTTCTTTTCCCTAGTCACCAAATTTGAACTGATTTGCTTTTTCCTTTTAAGAAAGCATAAGACCGGTTTGGCTCAGTGGATAGAGCGTCGGCCTGCAGACTGAAAGGTCCCAGGTTCGATTCCGGTCAAGGGCATGTACCTGTACCTGGATTTCGGGCACATCCCCAGTAGGAGGTGTGCAGGAGACAGCTGATCGATGTTTCTCTCTCATCGATGTTTCTAACTCTCTATCCCTCTCCCTTCCTCTCTGTAAAAAATCAATAAAAAAATATATAAGACCTTATGAATCATTTGGATAAAAATAAAAGGTTTATATTACCTTAATTTTTCATTAGGTTACCCTTTGGTCTGTGACAGCCAAATGAAGGAACCTCCTCCATCATTTCCAGAGAGTGATAAAGAAGCTTCGCAGTTGGAGCAAAAATATGTCCATCAAGTGTATGAAGAGATCGCTGGGCACTTCAGCAGCACGAGACATACTCCTTGGCCACACATTGTGGAGTTTTTGAAAGCCTTGCCAAGTGGTTCCTTAGTGGCCGATGTTGGATGTGGAAATGGAAAGTACCTTGGCATAAATAAGGAGTTATATATGGCAAGTAATTGTTGCTTCTGGCTTTCTTTCCACTTTATTTGTAAGGATATTATCGCCTTCTTCTTCCTCGTGATACAATGATTTTTTTTTAGGTTGCAGAAAAATTATAACCTGTCCTCACAGAGAAGAGTATACATGAGTATTTGCAACAATGCTCTGGTGCAGGAAGAATTTCCTACTTCCTAGCACAGCAAAAAAAAGAGTGGTCCATAGAAAAGGAAGTTACAGCTACTGAAAACAGAAACTCTGGCATCAGGCAAGAAGTGGGTGCATATCTTGGGTCTAGCCCTGCAACCTTAGTCATGCATTCCCTCCTGTCTGCATGTATTCCTTCCTGTCTATTGTTCCTGGAGCCTGCTTGTCTGTTTGTAGTTCTCATTTTTATTTTACCAAAAATTGCCTGACAGGCATTTCCCATAAGTGCGGGCTTACTTAGGTTTAGATTTGTGGTGGCCTCCGTTTTGTGGATCACAATACACAAAAGGGAAGCCTGTTTGTTTGTTTTTTAATCCTCACCTGAGGGTATTTTTCCCATTGATTTTTAGAGAGTGAATGGGAGGGAGGAGGGGCTGGAGGAGAGAGAGAGAGAGAGAGAGAGAGAGAGAGAGAGAGAGAGAGAGATCGGTTACCTCCTGCAAGAGAGACACATTGATTGGTTGCCTCCTGCACATGCCCCCAATTGGGGCTGGGGATTGAACCTGCAACTGAGGTATGTGCCCTTGACTAGGGATTGAACCCACCTGAGGGCGGACACTAAGCACTGAACCAAATCAACCAGGGCGAGAAGCCTGCTTTTTTAAGCTGCTGAGGCTTCAACTTGGATGTAGAAATGATACTTGAGGATTTTAACAGCCATCTTCAAATGTAAAATACGTGCATTTGATATTCAGGGGATGTGACCTGAGACAGTCATTCTGGGTATTCAAATGTAGGATAATCATAGAATCGAAAAAATTACAAATTTACTTTATATATAATTTCTTTAACAATGCATTTTTAAAATACCAGGCTGGGCTTTCGTGGAAATAGTTTTATGAACTGCTTTCCATTTCTGTAAGAAGTATATGTGGTGAATTTGTTCTTACCTGATCTCAACCATGCCTGAACTTACTCTTCTCTTTAATTCAAAATTTTTACATTCTAAGAACCATATCTTTTTTAGACTTCTTCAGTTACTCTTCATTTCTATTGACGAACTTTTGGCTTTATTTTCAGAGGTAAATTTTATAAGCAAAGATTTTATACTTTCAAGGGACTTACTCCCTTTAAAGAATAAAAATAATATAGCCACAATTCAGAAAATGAATGTGACAAAACGGAAGGATATGGATTTTTGGAGTGAGAAAGACTTAGGTTTAAATTCCTGCTCTACCACTTAACTACTGTTCAACTTGGAACAAAGTACTTATGTTCTTTGAGATGAAATTCCTCATCTGTAATATGGTGGTAATAAAACCTAACTCAAAGTGTGTTATGAGGATTAGTACATTACTACAAAGAATCTACTTTAATACATAAGGCTATTCAGTAAAAGGCAATTATACCAGCCTGTTTAGCTTTCTCCATATTTTGGACTGTTTTCTTAGGATAAATTTTTAGAAGAATAATTATTGGGTTAAAAGTTGTGAAGATTTTTATCTTCCTTTAAAAATGGTTTGCCAAATTGCTTTTTAAAATTGGGTGAGCCAATTTGTATTGTCACCAACACTTTATGAGAGTAATTTTTATCACATTGTTATCACTGTAGTGTACCTAGGTTTTAAATGTTTTTATACTTAGATAGGAGAAAAATGGAAACTTTTTTAGTTTGCACCTTTGATTACTCAGTTAATTATCTTTTCACTAGAGGCCCTGTGCACAAAATTCGTGCACTGGAAGGGGATTTTCCTCAGCCCGACCTGCCCTCTCGCAGTCCAGGACCCTTGCTCCTTACTGCCGGCCTGCTTGCTGCTCCTTACCGCTCGGCTCGCTGCTCCTTAGCGCTGCCGTGGAGGCGGGAGAGGCTTCCGCTACCGCTGCTGCACTTGCAGCCATGAGCCCAGCTTCTGGCTGAGTGGCGCTCCCCCTGTGGGAGTGCACTGACCACCAGGGGTCAGCTCCTGCGTTGAGCGTCTGCCCCCTGGTGGTCAGTGCACATCATAGTGACAGGTCATTCTGCTGTTCGGTCGATTTGCATATTAGGCTTTTATTATATAGGATTTTTACCTGTACTTTCAGAATTACATGTCTATGTTTTGTTGAAGATTTCAAAAATTATATAAGAGTATAATTATCCATTTAAAGCCCATCTACTATGTGTTTTTATGTCATTGATCTCCATCCAACACACAGAAGTGTGACTCTTTTTATATCTGTGAATATTTATAAATAAGACATTTTTGCCCTAGCCGGTTTGGCTCAGTGGATAGAGCATCAGCCTGCGGACTAAAGGGTCCCAGGTTCAACTGTGGCCAAGGGCACATGCCCAGGTTGTGGGCTCGATCCCCCCACCCCCAGTAGGGGGCGTGCAGGAGGCTGCCAATCAGTGATTCTCTCTCATCATTGATGTTTCTATCTCTTTATCTCTCTCCTTTCCTCTATGAAATCAATAAAAATATATATTTAAAATAAATAAATAAGACATTTTCTGTCCTGTTGTTGTCATTATACAGTATTATTAGGGAGAATTAAAGTACCTGGTATTGTCCTTGGAAAAAAAGCTTAGGGGAATTTAAAAACAGGGAAGAGAAGAAAATAGCGATGCTTTAACTATTGTATATGGAAGGCTCAGTTAAAATAAGTGGGTTATGGCTCTAGCCAGTTTGACTCAGTGGATAGAACGTCGGCCTACAGACTGAATGGTCCCGGGTTCAATTCGGGTCAAGGGCACATGCCCAGGTTGTGGGCTCAATCCCCAGTAGGGAGCATGCAAAAGGCAGCCAATCAATGATTCTCTTTCATCATTCCTCTCTGAAATAAATAAAAATAAAATAAGTGGGAGATGAAAGCCCAGAGCCACGGATGGCCAGGTCATTAGTCAGTGAGACCTTCAGTAGACCTGGCACTTTATGACTAAAATTGCCCCTACTCTCCTGTTGGCAAAAAGGGGTGAAGAGAAAGGACATTTTCTCTGATTTTGTTTGGCTGCTGTTCTCCTAGTTCTGTTTTATCTGTGGTTCTCAATAGTAACTTTCCTCCTTTGAGTAACTGTGCAGCTCTATCCCTGGGGACTTGTTTTATAGGCAAGTTGGATTTCTTCCTATTTGACTTTTAGCAAAGTACAGCAATCTGTCAGAATTGGGCACACTTGAAACTTCTATTCCCATGAACTGAATTTTATTGTCACAAAAGCTAGCAAGCACCAAAATCTAATGTACAGTGGGGCCTTGACTTACGAGTGTCTCGACTAACGAGTTTTTTGAGATACCAGCTGTCTCTCAGCCGATTTTTTGCATTGAGTTGATAGAGTAATTTGAGTTAACGAGCTCCTTAACGAGCTGGGTCTCTGAACGAATTAAACTTGTAAGTCAAGGCCCCACTGTACATGTTAGTTGAGTAGTATTGTTACCTTGATGATGTGACTATTGGCTCAGTGGCACAAAATATGGATGGAAGTAAATAAAAGTAATAAGCCAATTTGTACCTTACACTGGTAAAGGGAGCAATTAGTTGGGAATCATGCCACTGTTGTCATTAATGTGCCCTTAGTACTTTTTCATCTTAAAACATCAAAGGGAAATTCTATATTTTAGCTTGGTACCTTGTGTTATACCTTAGAAACGAACGCAGCTCTGGGTAAAGAGTACAGTAGCTGTTTAATGCTATTTAGATATTGAGCATATTCATATTAAGTATGACTCTCATGGCAGTGTGATTTAACTCAGTAAGAATTGCTTTGACATGAAGATTCATATTCTTTATTCTGCGAAGGATTGAGGGATCCCAAATACTACATCACAAATTCAAGTGAAGAACTAGAAGCTTGAGGTGGCTACTTCTGTTTTCTCTAATATAGAGGTTGTGTTAAGAAGAAATATTTGGGCATAATTATTAATTAGTGATTTAAAATTTCTTAAATCCTCCCATTCTTTCCTCAGTTTACATGTGCTCAGGCATTCTCTCTCTCTCTCTTTCTCTCTCTCTCTCACACACACACACCGCACAAGCACACACAGTATTGTTAGAACTAAACAGTAAAGCTGTGTCCAACAATAACAAAGCTGGAGAGAAAATAGGCAATCCCAACCCCCAAACACTTCCCACAGGACATGCACTAAGTATGTTAGACCTCCCCTGCTGGGGAAGATGAACGGATGCTGCTAGCTGCCTTCAGAGTTGTCATTCCCATGGGATGGTTTGGTTATACTGAAAGGTTTATTAAATATCATTTTATAAATTTTGAATTCAGTACTTCATTCTTATATTTTGATTAGGTGTTTAGCAGAACAAAAATCAATAACTAAAAAAAATGAAATAAATTACTTCTTTATTATTTGGGGATTTAATTTTCTGATTGCACAAGTAAGTATAAAGCAGGGGAAAAAATCAGCTATTTTTCTACTCTCTGGGCCATTAGAGTATAGTTTATTAGTAATGACAGATAGCTTAGATCCTCTTATTTGTTGCTCCCCTCAAAAGATCGAATGTCAATGTTTATGGGATAGTTTTCATTTTTAAGTGTGTGATATTACAAAGAGATCTAGATTCTGAATGGTGATCACTTAGGTACCCATTAGGGCCTCCCATACCCACTGCTGTCATTCTTATTCTAGTCATTTGTTTACATTCACTAATTTGAGTTCTGTGATACTTGTTAAGGTAATAAATGCTGTCCAGTGAATTATATATTCTGACTTTGTACTGGCTGTAAAAACTGATATCATGGTCTTAAACCATCTCACCATATGAAATCTGTCTCCTAACTTTATGGTAAGGAGTAAATCCATTGCTCTTAACTTCTCATGCCATTTAAATAAGATGCTTTGACTTTCTCTGTTATAGGTTGGCTGTGATCGTAGCCAAAACCTTGTGGACATTTGTAGAGAGAGGCAGTTTCAGGCCTTTGTCTGTGATGCATTGGCAGTGCCAGTCCGCAGTGGGTCTTGTGATGCCTGCATCTCCATTGCTGTTATTCACCATTTTGCGACAGCAGTAAGTACTGTCTTTCTCTCTCTCCCAGAACTTGTAGCTAAAGTGGCAGGAAATGTTCATGGATTTTACTAGTTGGGACTCGTATTAGCTTTTCTTTTCTTTCCATTCTCTTGTCACATTTTGCACCACTTGTTAAGAGAGCATGTGGAAGGGAGATGAGTTACATGGGCGTTGCACTTAGTTAAACAGAAGCCTAATGGACTGTATGTTGTTTTTGCTGCATGTTTCTGCCTTTTATCCTACCTTGAGACTTACTCATCTTTAAATTTTTTTCATCACATAATTATTTTAATGTCCGAGTTTGTATATGAGAGCCAGCACTTTCTCCCAGACTCAAGTTTATAAATTCTCAATTGACTTGGGAGGCCAGTAGGGATGCCTCTTCTTGTCTAGTTTTCAAATCCTCAGTGGTCATCTGATCAAATGGAATTATGTTCTTCATCTTCTCCAGCTCTTTCCCATATTGCTCAATCCTGGCCTTTAAGAGTGACCAAAACTCAACACAACTTCACATCTCCTCTTTCTTCACCATCCACCAGGGTACTATATTTATCCTCTGGCACAGGAACCTTCAGGTCATTAAGCTTCTCAAAGTCACCTACCAAGCCAGCATTCGCTACCTTGGCCTTGTAGCAAGTGCTAGCAGGTAGATTCTCAGGTAGAGTGGCCAACCTGGAGCTGAGGGTCTCATTTCAGGAGTTTAAGGAGTTAGCAATGGCCTTCGGTTTTGGGATGTGCTCTTCCCCAAAAGCTACCCAGTCAGTGTCCTTTAGAGCAAGTTTTTGCCCAGCCATCTAAGGTCCTTCAGAGCCCGGTGGCCTCGGTCCAGAGCAACCTGCTCATCTTTAAAGTTTAGCTGTAAGCTTTTAAGAGAACTCTGTGCCTCTTGAATGGACACCTCAGCCTTTGAGCCTCCTCTCTATTTCTGTTTCCATTTTTCTTTCTCAACTCTCACTCATCCCTGACATCAGAATCTCACTTCTTTCCCATTCAATTTTTTTCCCTATTCTTTTTTCAAAAGGAAGGTACTTGCCCTGGCTGGTTTGGCTCAGTGGATAGAGCGTCAGCCTGCGGACTGAAGGGTCCCAGGTTCAATTTTGGTCAAGGGCACATGGCCAGGTTGCGGGCTTGATCTATTCATACTAACAGGACTTCTTTTCATTCTCAAGACTTACTGGTTCCCTGGCACCTTAAGGGGGCATGCAGGAGGCAACTGATCAATGATTCTCTCTCATCATTGATGTATCTCTCTCTCTACCTCTCCTTTCCTCTCTGAAATATAAAACCACA